CTGGCGGGCCAGGCGCATGGCCAGGTCATAGTTGTCCTCCTTGCAGCGCTGGAGCTCGCGGCTGCCCGCCTCGCAAGCCTCCTTGAGCCGCTGCACGCGCTCCTGGTGCTTGCGCAGCAGGCTGTCCTTCACCCGCAGCTCCTTGATCAGGTCATCCTTGGAGCTCAGCAGCACTGTCAGGTCCTGCACCTTCTTCTGCAGCTTCATCACCTCGCTCATCAGCAGCTGCGTCAGGCCCGACTCCCCGGACGCATCTGTGGACCAGACAGGCATCAGTCGGGGTGCCCCTCGCCTCCCGAGCCTCCACTCGAAGGGTCAAATCCAGGATGCTGCAGCTCCCCATCGAGGAAAGGAACTGAGCTCTGACTCACTGCTCGGACCTGTTCCCACCCCCTCCCAGGACAGGGCTTCCCTCTTTGTCTAATTTTGTTATCTTGATTGAGAGGCAACTCAGGGCCAGGAGGGCCTTGCTCCACCAGCTGCTGGGGCCAGCAGGCCCCATCTTGCCAGGGGCAGATGGTCTTCTGGGCCACGAATCAGCCTGTGCACCCCACCTCCCACCTGTTAACCCTCCGGGATGGGAGTGAGGCCAGACAGGGCCCCATGGTGGCACCCTTCCCCGCGAGGCTCACCTGTTTCCTTTTCATCTGCAATGTATCCGTCAGGGGGCCAGGTGGGAAGGGGCCCACCAGCCCCACCCCTAGGCCGGCCCCACCCCGTCCCCTTGAGGCTCCCATGCCGCCCCGCCTCCAGTGTCCCCAGGCCAGGTCCCATTCCTCACCGATGATCATGGAGAAGACGCGGGTGGGCTCCTTGCCTGTGACCCTCTTGTAGAGCTGTGGGTAGTACAGTTCCAGGCTCTCAAGGAAGGCCACGTAGCCCTTGTGGCCAGTCCGCTGCAGGATGTCCAGGAGCACACCTGCAAACCAGAGAGGCCCAGCTGAGCCTGAGCGGGTTAGGCAGACAGAGGGACAGGGCTCGGGGGCCGGGAAGTCCCCATTGCCACCCTGCAGTTGGGGTTGCAGTGCGCTCCAGGGCAGGTGCAGGGCCGGGACCGCCAGCACTGACCCACTTTCCGCTTGCGGATGACCAGGTTGGGGTCGCTGAGCACCTGCTCCTCATCGTCAGGGTTCAGGACCTTGCACTGCCGCAGGTAGGGGGTGATGCGGGCGGGGTCGATGACCGCGATGAGCTTTACGCGGAAGCCTTCCAGGGCACTCCAACACTCATCCTCGTTCTCGTAGTCGGACATGGCTGCCGGGGGTGGTCGGGGGATGCTTGCCACAGTCCTAGTCCTGACCCAGGCCTGCCACCTCGATGCCTGCCAGGGCTCTGGACACAGCCAGACAGGAACTCAGCCCAGGGGACTCCAGGAGAGGTGTCGTCAAGAGAGGAAGCACCCCGCTCCCATCAGCTCACCCGGTCCTGGGCTTTCTTTCTTCCCAGTCACCCCAGTAAGCGTGGAGGAGGATGTGGGGATGCTCCAGGGACAGGTGGCATCTAAGAGAGCACTCTTCCCTGCACTGTGGCCCTCCTCTGGCCTCTGCCCCCCCGAACCCCCTGAAGTGTTGTGGGGCTCCCTTCCACCCATGGAGGTGAGGGGTCGGGAGGAGCGGGTACAGCCACCCTGGCAGGTGTGGGTGGGACCCCGGCTCCAGCCCCCAGCTGGCCAGTGCCCCAGCTGGGGCCAGAAGCTGGTTGACCTGGGACCCTGCCACCTGCCAGGCACCAGGCTGTGCTGCTGGGGACTTCCTCATTCCCCGACAGTGCCTGCTCACATCCAGTCCCGTCCCCTCCTCTCCTTCCGGAGGCTGCTGGTGATGCAACGGTCATCCAGCTGCTGCGGGGGCCAGCCTGCTCCAGGTCAGGCTCAGCGACACGGTGCCCTTTGGGACAGCTGACTGTGGACGGCCCACAGGAGTGCCAGGGCCCCAGCACACTGGAGGGCGGACTGTGTCGCCCATGGCTGGCCCGGGATGCGGCTCCATGCCGCATCCAGGCTCTCAGGTCCTGGCCACCAGCCATCCCTGGGATCCTCTCCACCTCCCAGGTGAGGCCTGCTCTTGGCCACACTCTGGGGGACTGTCATGCCAGCTCTCTGCCTGGGAACCCTCTACATAGGAAGCACCCACGGCTGTTCTCTTCCACCAGTGGGCAGGAAGCCACTTTCTCCAGGGCCGGGCTGAGCTGGGAGCAGCCACGTGGTCGTGCCTTGTCCCGGCAGTGGGAATAGAGACCCTGACTGGCGACCTCAAACTGAGCCTTCAACCTGCACAGGAGTGGTTTCCAGCCCAGAGGACCTAGACCGCGCTCCTAGAGATGCGGGTGGCAGCGGGCCTGGTTTGCTGCGGGGTCTAACTTCCCGCTGCTCTCAGCCAGCCGGCCTGCTGGGTGACAGACACGGTGTTGAATGAGAACAGCAGCAACTTGCTGCACAGTCTTTGGAGCATTTGGCCTGTTCCCTGCCTTTCTGGCCTAAAGTCCACAGGTCCCACACCTGACGCCCTGCTGCTAATTCCACTGAAATGACAGCAGGTACAGATGGCTGTGAAGGGGGGCAGGGCATCCCTCTGGGGTATTTGCTCCAGACCCCGCTCCCTGCCCCCAGGAGTCCTGAGCTGAGCCACTGAGGATTCCTAGCCACCCTTCAGAAAGGGCAACAGACCAGCCTACCTCAGGGTCCTCCCGGGGCACCCGCGTAGCTGGTCGCAAGTCAGCCTGGAGTGGTAGGAGGCGCCGCTGGCTGCTGGGAGGTGAGGGAGGGCGGGGCCGTGGAGCCGGGATGGGGGCCTGTGCACTTCCTGATGGTTCTGGTTAACCCCAGGCCGGCCAGTCCTCCTGTGGGGGACGACCCTGCGGCTGCCTTCTGAGTCGCCCTGGGCGGCCCCAGGAGAAGGCGGCAAGAGGGAAGTGGAAGTCGCCTGCTCTCCGAGGAAAGTGTCTGGTCAGAGCCCTCCCCGGGGCGTGGGGGTCCTGGGACCTGCCCTGGAGGCCCAGCCCTGACCCTAAGAAGTTCCATCAAGGCTCTCCCAGGGCTGGATGAGACCAAGCCACCTTCCAGTCCACTTGGGCCCCTAAGGACTGCAGTGTGGTGTCCAAGAGGTCATGGGCCCGGCCACGCTTGCCCCACACCACCACCAGCCCCCACTGCAGCTGGTACCCTGTCCCTTCCTGAGAGCATCCCCACTCTGCAGCCCCCTCCCCCAGGATACAGGTGACACAGGAGGCAGGACCCGGACTCTGAGGCCACTCCCTATGGCCCCCAAGCCAGTTTCTCAAGGACTGTAGACAGCTGGGCAAAGCTTGGGCCAACAACCATAGCACCAGTCCTCTGTGGAGGGTACTCCCCAGGCCCCCACCCCTGGCTGCGAGCTGTGTCCTGACAAGCAGGACTGCCCAGGCCCCACCTCACCAGGGCAGCCTTACTGGTTGGACTGAGTTGCCACCTGCCAGGCTGAGGCAACAGCTCCGGGAAGGGGCTGAGGGTGGGCGGGCAAGGAGGCAGCCTGACGGGTGCTCCTGGCTCCACCATCCTGAGGCGGCTCCCTTTTGCATAGCCAGCCCTTCCAGTGGGGTCCTGTACCTCAGCCTCGGGGTTCTCTGCCTCCTGGCCCACGGCGGTCAGTCCAGGCGCTGCTGACCTACAGTGGCAGCATGGTGGCCTGGCCTTCCTGCAGGCCTCCCAGAGGCCCGACACACCCTCCAAACGCAGTCCCCTGGCCCCTGGTGGGGGGGGGGGCACAGTCTGGGGGCTCGTGCCTGGGCCCTCAATGACCCAGCACTTCCCCACTTTGCGAACGGAGACTGATGAAGGGAGCTGCCTCAGGGTGTGTTCAAGAATTGAAAATGCTGTTTTCTGACCACACTGGAATCAAGCTGGAAATCAGTAACAGAAAGACATCTGGAAAATCACTACGGACTTGGAAATTAAACAGCAAACCTTTGAAACAACCCACAGAGTGTGAGCACAGAGCTGGGGTAACGCTGGTGTCGCGGGGACGGGGACTGCTGTTTGGGGCCGGGGCGGGGGAGGGGTGTGTGTGATAAATCTGTGAAAACCAAGGGAAGCAGCTCGCAAAAGAGCCAAGCTCCTGGGAGAACCGAGTGCTGAGGAAGGTGTAAACCTGGGTGCGTGCTGGGCAGCCTGCTGGGAGCAGGCCCTCAGCCTGAGGGCCAGAGTGCCAGGCGCTCCTCGTGAAAGGGCAAACCCCTGCTCTTCCCACATGCCTCATGGAGGCCCAGGATGCCGGGGACGCCCCTCCCCTTTACGTGCCGCCAAGCACCTCAGGAAAGACCAACAAGACCCTGCATGGTTTGCTTTTAATTAAAAAAACCAGGACATTTCTTTATTTCTTCCAATATTCTGATCTGCACTTATGGACCAGCTGAGCCAGTCACAACATGGTCACTGTCGGCAGAGCCTCCATCATCCTCCTGCGGGGTAGGCACAGGCTCCCAGTCCTGCCGGCAGCAGCGGTGGATGTCTGGCCCGGGCAGTCCTGGAACACGACCACACTGAGGGCAGGGCACCCTGACCCTCCTTGGACCCCACGGTGCCACAGTGGAGGGACAGCACTCTGCTCCGTGGTCCATGGCGGGGTTGCAGCAAGGTCTCGCCGCCCACTTGTGGTCCATGGAGGGGGCTGTGCTGGCAGGCCCTGGAGCCGAAGCAGGCTCTAAATGGGCTCACCCCAAAGACCCCCTCTGTGGCCCCCCCAGCCCAGGGCTCACCGCTCCCTCTCCACCTACTCCAAGATGCAGAGCTCTCAGCACAACCCCCTCAACGCTCAGAGGACCCAACTCCTGCCTCTAGGAATGTCCTCCCGGGGCCTATTCGGTGCCTGCTACCCAGGCACTGTGCACCCAGCAGCCGAGAGCCAAGGGCCTGCCCTTAGAGGCTCACATTCATGGGGAAGACAGTGAACAAATTCACCATAGACCATGCAGGGGGTCAGGGTGGGGCAAGTGCCGTGGGAACAGATGGGCCCTAGGACAGCGATGCTACCTCAGGGCGGTCGGGGAGGGCGTGTCTGAGGAGCCGACCACTGAGCAGACCAGAATGGAGAGATGGACAAGCCTTGGAGACAGACAGGAAGGAGAGTGCGAGGCAGAGGGACAGCAGTGCAAAGGCCCTGAGGCACACGTCACCGACAGGAAGGAAGCACTAGTGGCTGGGGTGTGGGTCCCATCTATGCCCACACCCACCCTGTGACACTGCCACACTGAGGTGAGCCCTGAGGCTCCCACATGCCCAGGGCAGAGCCGAAGGAAGACCCCTGGCACTCACCCCGCCACTCATACCAGCTTCCTCCGCTTTCGGGCGTGCCGGGCATGCCGGGTCCTGAGTACGTCAAGGTCGTCAGAGCTGTCCAGACAGGAGGGGGCAGAGCCCTGGCCCTGGTCTGGGACTCCCTGAAACAAAGTCCAGGCAGAGGGGGACAAAAGTGACCCTCTAGCCAGTACAGGCAGGGGCCAGGGTGGCAGTGGGGAGCAGGGAGGAGCCTTTGGAACCAGGACAGGCAGCTCCTCAGACTCATCCTGGCTGGGAACGAGCAGCTCTTCAGGTGAGCCAAGGCCCCAGCAGCGGGAGCCACTCCAGGCTGGGCCTGGTGACAGCGACACACCCAAGGGTGTGACAGAGAAGGATGGGAGAAGCGCTGCCTTACGGAGCCACAAGTGGGCTCTGGCTTTCTGCTGACCCCTCCCTGACTTGGGGGCTCCAATCCCCTCTGAGCAACCCCCCAATAGCTAGCCTGTCACGGTTCCCCTGAGCAGGGCCAGCAGGGCTTGGGCCAAGGTGGGTAGGTGCTGGAGGCTGCCCAGGCCGTGGGGCACAGGGAGCCTCTTCCCCTCGGGACCTGGGCTCCTGTTGTGCTTCCACTTTGCTCCAGCCCAGAAGGCAGCCCTGGGGCTCCTGAGGCAATGGTCTTGGGGAGGGCAGTATGGCCCCTGCCTCCCTATCCTCCTGGTAACACATAGAGGGGAGCCCCAGGCTCAACAGGTCCAGTGCCACAGACACCCCAAGTGAACAGGAGGGACAGCTCCTGGGGGTTCTCCAGGAGGGTCACTACATACTCCCCAGACAACACTGGCCAAGTCCTGGGCGACCTCCCTGATTTGGTAGTCGCGAGGTGACCCGGCCGTCCTGCTTGGCCCAGACAACAGGGGCCAGGGGTTCCCTGGTGCACACAGCCCCAGGGGGCTAGAGGACACCTTCCCATGCATGTTATCAGGTTTCTTGTCAGTCAACAGGGACACAATCCCCCTTCTGTAGCTTAGAAGACTTGGCAGACAGAGCCAGGTTCGGCACCTGGAAGGACTGTGGTGTCTGTGAAGTGCAGGTATCCCTGTGGCCCCCACAGGAGTGTGTGTGTGTGTGTGTGGGCACAACGCATGTATGCATGGCAGGGCGCAGAAACCCACGGCGGCTCCCCAGCTCAAGACGGGGCCGGCGGCCCCAGGCGGGCAGAAGCAATGTCCCTGCTGCAGAGAATCCGCCCGCCACTGGGCACCTTGGAGCAGCCTCTTCCTCTTCAGAAACCAGCTAGCCAGCCCTCCTGGCCGCGACTTCCACCTGCTCCCACCCGCAGGTGCTTGGGGTGGCAAGACAGCCACAGGTGGGTGGGGTGCTGTGGGGGCTGCAGCTGCTGCAGGGAGGTGGGGTGAGGGCTCCGCACCCAGGACCACCTACCTGGGCGGGGCTGGCATGGACACTGCTCGCCCAGCCCCTCTGCTGCCCACTGTCGTCCTTGTGGACGTCATCGTCGTCACTCTCAGGCTCAGCCCTCACGGCTGCTGACAAGGTGGTGGGGACACTGGGCGGGGACAGGGTGGCCAGGAGCGCGGGGAGGGTGAAGGCCGCCAGGAACCGCGCCTTCAGCAGCAGGTGGGCCGGGCTGGTCCTGGAGCCGCTCCCGCGCCTGCTGCAGCGAGGCCTGCAGGGCTCCGGCTGCCCTGCCGGGCACAAGGGCAGCGGCTCGCTGTTCTAGGTCCTTCTTGCGGAGCAGGAGGCCAGACAGCACCCGCAAGCTGCACAGGGTTGGGGGCTGGTAGGGCAGCCTGCTCCCCAGTGGGGGCACACACACCCCACACCGTCCCCTCAGCCACTCCCTCACGGCTGCCTCGCTCTCCTGGGAGAGAAGGCCCAGGTCCAGGGCACCCTTCTCAGGCCCAGGCTGAGGCCTCCTGGGCTCCCCGGGCCCTGGTGTCTCTCCTGGGCCACTGCCACCTGACAGAGGCAGCTGGCTAGACTGGAAGGGCTCTGCTTCAGGGTGGTGAGCCAGCAGCATGGCCTGGGAGAATGTCCTGGGCACAGCTGTCTCCCCGGCTACCTGGACCTCTGCGGGGGAGGAGAGTCCCTCGGGGTCCTGGGCCCTGGTGCCGTCCACCTCTGTAGGGCTTTGGGATGTGGAGGGCCTCCGAAGGGTCAAGAGGTCTGTCCCTGAGGGAGGGTCTGACGCTGTGTCCATGTTGGCTGGGGGCTGCCCAGGGAGTCCAGGGCCCTGGGCTGCAGGAGGCTCAGTTAGGGAGGGCGGCGGAGTCACCGACAGCCCTCTGGGGTCAGGGGTCCCTGCTGACGTCGGAAGGCCTACCACAGCTGGCACAGGCACAGGGAGCAGCCCCTGGGCTGTGAGCACCCAGGTGACAGGCAGAGGGGTGCTGGCCCCGTGTGTGCCCAGAGCCGGAATCAGGCTGAGAGGCTGGGCAGGCAGCTGAGCAGGGCTGGGGGCTGCAGGGAGAAAGGGAGGTGCCTCGGGCAGGCCCTGCTTCCGGGACGTGGCAGGCACCTGAGACTGTCCGAGGAGGCTCAGGTGGTGGCTCACAGGGCCCTGGCTGGGGCCCAGAACTGGGGCCCTGGATGCAGCTGGGGTCGTTCTGGCTCCCGTGGAGGCTGGGGTGAGGGCAAAGGCTTGCAGAGACAGGGGTCTCTCATCCGAGGCTGAGGCCCAGGAGCCTGGAGCACTCAGACTGGCCACTGCAGGGCTCCCGGGCCCAGAGAGCACTGCATTTGACACAGGGGGGCCTTGAGGGGCCAGCGGCTGGAGGACCACGGGTGAGGAGACCAGCACCTGGGGCGGGAGAACCACCCGGCTCTGGGCAGCCTTCCTGGCTCGGGCCTCCCGCAGCCGCTTCTCCCGAAGCAGCTCAGACACAGTTTTGGGCTTGGGCCGGGGTCCGCTCAGAGCTGGCGGGGGCACCCGTGGAGTGGGCTTGGCGTGGTGAGGCTGCAGCACTGCACCCTCTTCATGGCTGGCACTCTTCTTTGCAGCTCCGCGAGCTGGCACATTCTGCAAGAGGCAGCCTGCAGGGAGGATGGAACACATGCTGACAAACCCCAGGTGACTGGCCCAGAAACAGGACTTGCCTCGTGTCCTGGTGGAAGGACCCTCATGGTGGGCAGCCGCTGGGAGCGTGGAAGCAGAAGCCTGGCATCTGGGCCAACAGGGGCACATCAGTCTGGCTGCACATTTCCAAATCTCCCGTCCCACAGCACCCCAAGCTCACAGTGGGCACTGGGCAGCCCAGCCGGGGGCGTTCGGCCAAGGCAGGCACTGAGCAAGGCCCTGTATGTCAGCCCCACTTCTGGAGAATCTTCTAAACAAGGTCTGTTGGCCCCACTGCTCTCCCCTCTAGCATCACCTCTCAGACCCCAGACCCTGAGCCTGCCGGTGGGGAGACTGGTGGCCACCAGCAGGAGAGGCCCCTTGGCAAGAGGGCAGCCCTTCACCTCCTGGGCCATGGCTGGGGCAGGCGGACTTGCTGTGCTAGGAGTGCCCCCCCAACCCCCGCCAGCCAGGCCCTCCAGGCGGCCCTCCCTGGCGTGGGATCCAAACAGACCCACCACGAGGGGCCACAGTTGTGCTGCTCAGAGCCAAAATTCAGAGCCTGTGACAGGTATGGCCTTTTTCCCACTGGACACAAACAACCAAGATAAACGGAGAGACAGACAGACAGTACCTTGGGTGTTCTGGGCACTCGAGGGCATCTGGAAAAGAAGGGTTAGCACCTCAGGACAGTCCCCAGAGGCCCAGATCCACTTCTCTACCCTCAGAAGACCATCTCTCACTTCTTGCCTGCAGTGAGCACAAGGCTCCAGGTGCTAGGGCCAGCCTGCCCCCTCCTGATGCAACTCCACCCAAAGGCACCCTCAGGAGAGCTCATCTCAGTGGGGTCAGGGCTGTGTGGACTTCGCAGGGACAGACAGGGGGCCTGGCTGTTGAGGCAAGAGGGCATGGACTCTGTGGACTAGATGGGGCACCATAGGCTTGTATATTTGGTCCTCTGACTGATCACACCATCTTGTCATTTTCTCTAGCGCTGACCAGGCTCCCCCTAGCAGAGCCAGGGCCCAACGCAGCAGGTGCTCAGCAGCTCCCGCCCTCTGCCCAGGGGTGGTACAGCGGGTGGGAGGAACATGCTGTGGGCCAGGTGGGTCTGAGTGCCACTCAGGCCCCGCACCCCTTGGACTTGCAGCATAGCCACTCAGGGCTCCAGGCCCTCACTGTGAGATGGACAGACACCTCCCAGGAGGGCTGCTGTGGGAGGAGGGGACAGCCTTGGAGCAGGAATGGGCAACAGCTGCTCGCAGGGCCAGCCCCAGCCTCCATGGGACCCGGAAAGGCCTCCCATCTCCAGAGAGCTGGCCAGCACCTGCTACCCGGCACTAGCTGTGCAGCAGGACGGGGAAGGGTGGCTGGAGCCCAGTGAGCCCGCGTCCGGCTCCCACGCCCACTTCTCACCTGCAGAAGCTGTGGCGGCAGGCCCCGGGCACCAGCCTGGAGCGGGGTGGGGGCCTGGGCCTTCCTCTCTCGAACGACCTCCATGCAGCCGGCAGTGTCGATCTGGAACAGCTGAGGATGTGTGTGACACGCTTGATGCCATGTGACAGGAGGCCCTTCGCCGCCCGTCCTGAGGCCCCCTCCACCCCAACAAGGGCCGAGCCGATGAGGCGCTCGTGGTGGGAGCCGCTCTCATGGAGAAGACCCAAAGCCCCTAAGGGAGTGACCATGCCTGCATGGGTCACGCCCTAACCTGGACGCGGGGACTCAAGGCTGCCACAGTGCTGGCTGCCTTTCCTGCCCTGATTCAGACCATGGGACGTCCAGTGCACCTGTCGTGACAGCCTCTTGTCCCCTGAGCTTCCACTTCCACACTGGGGCTCCCCTCCCAGCCCTTCCCCACGGGGTTTAGCTGACATCCGCAGGAGCACTGCACCGTGGCTGCTCCTCCACCTTAACTCGCCCACTGAGTCACAGGCCACTGAAGAACTTTAGAAAGTTGGGCTTTGATAAGGAAGTGCCACACCAGGTGGCATCTTACCTGAATAAAGAGGGTAAACACTGGGGTGCTGGCCAGGTGGGCGCCCCGCAGCCGCTGCCTGATGCCATCAGCTAAAGGGACAAGGACACATGTGCCAAGTGGCCTCAACTACCAGCCTCCTCTCCCCCACGCCCGAGAGCCCCAGACTGGGTACCAGGCAAGGGGCCCCGAAGAACCCCAAATCCAGCTGCCGCTACACTCAATCAGAAAACAGGGCAAGGGTCCAGGGGGCAGGCTGGCCCTGACTGGCCCTCAGCACAAATTCGGGGAAAGGCACTCCTGAGCCCCAAGAGCCCCATCCCCTGGAGAACGTGACCAGCTCTCTGGAACCTGCACGCAGGCGCCCACACATTTCAGATCCCGAGAAGATGCTCGTGTTCAGGCCTGAATGTGCGGTCAATTCCTGGGCTGACCACGTGTGCTAAGGGGGTCGGGAGAGGCAAATTCCAGACACCCCACAGGTCAACACTGGGCGGGTGGCCCCTCCTGTTTCTGCCTCGCCCCAACAGAACAGGTGTGACCAGCTGTGTCTGTGGGTGCCCCCCTCCCCCTTCCTCTCCCCTGGCCCTGGGCCCCACAGGAGGCTCCCGAGGGGAAGGAGCCCTGAGGTAGTACCTTGACTGTGCACTACAGCAGGCCTCAGGGGAGCGCACGGCAGGACGACATCGCCTACCCACGGGCTCACAGCCATCAGAAGCTGGCGCTCTAGGAGCCTCCTCTGCAGGGCGTGTCTCTGGCGCCGCCGCCTGCTCCCCATGGTCCCCTGCCACAGCGGCTGCACCCGGGGCCTGGCCACGCCACTGCCATTGGGGCTGGGCTGCCTCCGCTTCTCCTTCTGCGGGGAGAGAAAGGGACCTGGGCGTTTTGGCCAGGCTCAGCTCCGGGGCTGCCCAAGCCCCGCCCTTACTGTCCCCCCTCCCGCCATGTGCTGGTGGGGTGGGACACTCAGGCTGGGAGCAGGGGATGGGGGACAAGGTGGTTCGTAGGGACTGGGGTGATCCTGGCGGCCTGGAGTGGTGTGAGCGGCCTCGGGCAGGCCCTTACCAGCACCCGGCAGTGGGCAGCCGTGTTGGTCCTGAGCACCTGCAGCACTGTCTCCAAGGGCACTGTGAGCGGATGTCTCCCCACCTGGCGAGAGACCGCGTGAGGCTGGCTGCCCCCTGGGCTGCACACGCAGCTCCTCACCCCAAAGCGCACCGCATCCACACTCCAGGTTAGTGGAAATGCTCACTGGAGTGTGGTGGCCTCAGGCAGGGCCACCCCCTCAGGAGGGTAGTGGGTCCCTAAGGCCTGGCCCCGTGATGCTGCTGGGCCGGAACATACCCAGGACTGACCGAGTCCCCATTCCCCCAGGCAGCTCCCTGAGCTGACGGTATCATATGCTGCAGACAAAGTTGGAACCGGGGCTTCAGGCCCGTAGTTACAGGAGCTGTGGGTATCCGCTGTCCCCTTGGGCGTCACAGAGTGGACTTCGAGCCTCACCCAGGACAGACCAGCCAGTCTGAACGTGGCCAGAGCCGAGTCTGCGCCCGGAGCCTCAGCACCTCTGAGACCAGCCAGGATACGCCTCAACTTGACTAGCCAAGTTGGGCCTGAGCTGGTGGACAGTGAGACCCTCCATGGGGAGCTCCTCGGACTTGGGGAGACTAGGAGGAAACAGCTCCTCCCTGCTTCCCCCACCTTCCTCCCTGTAGCTTTCCCACAGGGCTTTTCAAGCCAAACAGTTGTGGGAAATGGAGGTGGCTGGCCTCAATGGGGAGAGCTGCCACCCTGGGTGCAGCTGCCCTGGAGTGGCCAGGAGTGAGCACCTTGATGAGTGAGGAGGGGCTGTCTGCCCCGCACACACGGGGCCCAGTGGGCATGCGACAGTGCAGCCCGCCACCCCCACGTCATCCAGACTCGGTGACAACCGCGCAGGGCCATGCCCACTTGCCTGCTGCCTACCTCGTCTGCCTCTGAGCTCGAGGGGTGAGCATCTGCTGAGCGCAGACATCCGACACCTCTCTGGCCAGGGCTCTGGGTCCCAGCAACGGCCTGCGGCCGGCTGGCCTCCTCTGTGGGGGCTGAGACTGTGGTGCAAGCTCTTCTGCCCCCACCCTGGGCTGTGCTGGAGCCACCAGGAGGGCTGGGGGAGGCAGCGCAGCGGCCCGGCCGGCCCCCTGCTCCTCCTCCCCACAGCTCCTTGGCGCTCTGCCTGGCGGGAACCCACAGGTCCAAGTCCGGCACAGCGTGCGGGGTTGGCGGCAGCGCCGGGCCATCCTCCAGGGCCTCCTCCGGCTCTGGCTCCGAGTCCTCGCTGCTGTCGCTG